CCAGCTAATTTTTTTTTTTTTTTTTTTTTTTTTAGTAGAGACGGGGTTTTACCATATTGTCCAAGCTGGTCTGGAACTCCTGACCTCAGGTGATCCACCCTCCTCAGCCTCCCAAAGTGCTGGGATTACCGGCGTGAGCCACCACGCTCCGCCAAATTAGTAATTTTAAACTCTTCCAACAAAGACAAGCCCAGGCCCATGTGGCTTCTTCACTGATGAGTTCTATCAAAGAAGAAATAATGCCAATCCTTTAATAACTCTTTCAGAAAACAGAGGAGGAGGGAACACATCAATTCATTCCATGAGGCCACCCTAATGCCAAAAGCAGACAAAGACACAAGAAAACTACAGAACAATATTCCCCAGCAAATCAAATCTAACTCCATATAAAAAGGATTATACACTACAACCATGTGGGATTTATTCTAGGAATGCAAAGTTGATTTAATATCTGAAAACCAATTAATGCAATATCATTGTAGAATAAAGAACAAAAACCATAAAATCAAAATCCAACATCCATCCATAATGAAACATCTCAATAAACTAGGAATAAAAGGGAACTTCCTTAGCCCGAACACACAATGGTGAAAGACGGAATACTTTCCTCCTAAAATTGTGAACAAGGTAAGGAAGGCTGTCTGCTCTTAACAATTCTATTCAACATTGTACTAGAGATCCCAGCTGGTGCAATTAATCGAGGAATTTTTTTTTTTTTAATGGGTGTCAGATTATGTCATTCCTCTATTCAAAACTCTCCAATGTCTTCCTGTTTCACTCAGAATAAAGGTCTACATGATCTGGTCCCTGTCTATCCTTGTGACTTCTCTATATTCCAATCTCCCCCTTGCTTACTTCATCTGTAGCCACACTGGCCTCCTTTTGTTCCTCAAACACAATAAAAACACTCTTATTTCAGGACCTCTGAACTTGCTGAACTCCATGCCTAGAATGTTATTCCCCAAAAGACATACATAGCTCACTACTTCAGTTCTTGCGTATTTCTGCACACATTTAATTTTCTGAGAGGCCTTGTTTAATAATCCAGTGTCTCCCTACTCCCTTATCCTGCTTTATTTTTCTTCAGATTTCTTTGTTTAACTGCTTTCCTCTACTAGAATGTAAACTACAGAAAGAAAACTATTTTATTCACTGCTATACCTCAAACACCTGAAACCGTGCCTAGTATATGATAGATACTCCAATACTCACTGAATACATAAATGTATATCTTCAAAAAGAAAAATGTATTTAGGAGAATGAATAAAAATGAGGAGTGGGGGACTACTAGCTCAAGAAACTGAGAAGGACCAGAGTTTTAGGTGCTTGGGAACGAGCCAATGTAGGAATTGTAATAGAAAATCTTGGTTTTCTGGAGCCAGATTCTTTTGGATTCTAAGCTTAGCTCTTCTGATCACTGCCTACACGTCCATCTCTAAGTCTCAAGTAATTTATAAAATAAGAACATCACCACCTACCTCCCAAGTTGCTATGAAAATGAAATATATTTATGTAGAGCACTCAGCATAGTGCCTAATAATATATAACAGACACTACAATTAATTTAACATTTTCTGATAACTCTGGCCTTCAAGAGAACTCAGAACCACCACAGAAATTACCTAGCCACACCCTCGCCTTACTGAGGAACATAGATGTTTGTAAAGGTGTTGTTCCTAAATTAAGTGCCCTCCAGACTGTTGTTTTAACATTTCTTTTCATTCTTCCTTCACCCCTCCCCTTACAGTCAGCTTTAAGCTCTCACCCCTAGCTGCTATTAATAAAGCAGCTCTTCCCCCCTTTTTGATATGCCGATTTTAATCTTGAGGGGGGATGGGGGGTTAGAAACCAAATGCTAAACTTGTTACAACATGTAAAAATAATAATACATTAGCACTGTGCAAATACTTAAGGATGACAATGCTTTACCTCCCCCTTGTTTTTCGGTTGGACTCTGGAAAAATGAGGCTGTTAGGTAAATAAGCTATTATATGTGTAGCTTATCATATATAAATGTATATACAATACACTTATTTACATGGAATCATTCATATTTGTTGTGTGTGTGTGTGTGTGTGGTTTTTTTTTTTTTTTTTTTTTTTTTTGATACAGAGTCTCACTCTGTCGCCCAGGCTGGAGTGCAATGGCACAATCTCGACTCACTGCAATCTCTGCCTCCCAAGCGATTCTCCTGCCTCATCCTCCGAGTAGCTGGGACTACAGGCGCATGCCACCACGCCCGGCTAATTTTTTTGTATTTTTAGTAGAGACAGGGTTTCACCACGTTAGCCAGTATGGTCTTGATCTCCTGACCTCATGATCCGCCTGCCTCAGCCTCCCAAAGTGCTGGGATTACAGGCATGAGCCACCACGCCCAGCCATATTTTAAGTTTACTAGAGCTTTTTCACGGGGCAGTTGTTACAGGAAGTATAAGATCCAAGCTTGGCCCCCAGGCCAAGGAAAGGCCAGAAGCTGTAGAACTTTAGATTAACAAGGCAAAAAGAAGTGGCAGCAAGAGCCTGGAGATTCAGACTAGAAGGGGAGGTAGGAGCCAAAACCCTCTTTGCACTCAGGCAGAGAGAAGAACAGAATGTCCATTGTTAAAACACAGTACAAAGAGAATGGTATACATCGTTGGCGAAGGGGGAGAGCAAAATGGTAAAAAAAAAAAACCAAAAAAACTGGAATGACCATGGCCTCCATAAAATGTAAGGCTACAGCACAAGAGCCTTTTTCACTAGCAGTAAGCAGAGGCAGGCAGGGGACCTAGGGCCAAAAGAATAGCCTTCAAGAGATGACAGCAGAGAACAAGGCAACATCACGGTGGGTGCCGACTCCTGTTGGGATGGGCTCTTGGAAACTACTGTAGTATCCTATGCCAGTAGTGCCTTGCAGCCAGGGTTCATGAGTGCAGTTAAACTTGCCCTCTGCAGCCCACACATTGCAAATCATGGCTGGCTGTGCTACCTGGCTTTGTCATCTGTGCCCTGGAATCCTTTTCCTTATGGAAAGACTGAGCTATGGGTAAGGCCCACAAAAGAAAGGCGGCGAGGAGGAGAAGGACATAGAAGATTTACAATGAAAATTTGCAAATGAAAACCCTCCCTTTTACTTTTGGGAAACAGGGTGGCAAACAGGTTGGGGACTGAGATTCCACAGATACTATTATAGTTTGAATGCTGGACTCCTCCAAACTGCTTGCTGAAATTAGGTCCCCAATGTTCAAGGCGGGACCTAATGGGAAGTGTTTGGATCTCTGGGGACAGATCCCTCATGAATAGATTAATGCTGTCCCTGGAGCAGGGGTAGGGGAAGTGAGTGAATTCTTACTCATTTTGTTCCTGCAAGAGATGGTTGTTAAGAGCTTGGTACCTCCCCTCTCTTATCATCTGATTTCTACTCCCCTCAGTTCCCTTTCCACCAGAATAGAAGCAGCCTAAGGCCCTCACTGGATGCAGACACCCAATCTTGAACTTTTCCAGACATCAAATTGTGAGACAAACCTTTTTTCTTTATAAATTACCCAACCTCAGGTACTCCTTTATAACATGAGACAAGCTAAGATAGACCTTAAAATGCTTTCTCCTCACTTTCTTGTTTCATTCATGCTGCTTTTACAATTCACAAAGCTTTCCAACTTGCAATTCTCTTCTGATTCTCTATAACATACCCGCATGGTTGGCATACACATAAGAGACATGAAGAGGCAAGGAGGCACTCCAACTTTACAAATAGGGAAATGAAGACTGTTCAGGGCACACGTTGAGAGAGAAGATAAAAACCCATGTTTCTTAACTTCAAGCCAGCACTCAAGTCCTTATCCTGTGACGGCCCAAGTGTTTAAGAGATCCCATGTGTTACAGATGTATTCTTCTTCTGGTCACTTTTAGCCTGGGCCTAGGCCTGCTTGAAGGTTCTTCCTATCTTTCAGTCTAGTAGCCCCCTCACTAGAAATACCTTTGCTCAGAGGGACCCCCAACTCCTACCTGCCCTGCTCGGCCCCTCAACTGAATCTCCTTTCTGAATCCCTAAGTCTGCCTTCTTGAACTTCATAAGAAAAATCAGAATAAGAAAAAAAAGAAAAATCAGAATTAGAGAGATTAGCTGCCCAAGGAAAGTCTGCCAAGTCAGGAAGAACAATGGTATTTATGGTCAGACTGACCTGTGTTCTAATATCAGCTTTATGGATTCCCAGGTGTGAATCCTGGGCAAATTATTTCAGTTCCTGAGCCTCAATTTCCTCATCTATAAAATGAGGTTTTAGAGCAGGTTATGGCGGTACACCTATAATCCCAGCTACCTGGGAGGCTGAGGCAGGAGGATCACTTGAATAACATGAGCCTAGGAGTTTGAGGCCAGCCCAGGTAACATAGTGAGACCCTGTCTCCCAAAAACAAAAACAAAACCCCACACACACAAAAAGGGATTTTGTCTACATTGAGATCAATAACATACTAAGTGCTATTGTGTTGATTTTCCTTCCTTCTCACCATCTGTAAGCTTCCCCTGACATCTCCTTCATACAGCCCTACTCTTATTGCTCCACTCTCACCATTATTTATATAACATTTTGCAGAATTGAGGAAACTACAGGATTTCCTGGAGCTGACCTATGAACTTGGCAGATCACAGTAAAAACTAAAGCTAAGAAAGTCTCTAAAGGCTGTGAGGTCATGTTAAAGAGCTTGTGGGAGAACAGGTATAGCTGCCAGGTCCCAGGATACCCCCTCAGCAGAAAGAAGCTAGCAGAAGCAAGAAGGAAGAAAGCCTGCTCTGCCTTATTCACGGAAAATGATCCCAGACATTCTTGTGGCAGCTCTAGGACAGCAGTCTCAACCTGCCTCCCAGTTCAGAAGGTTATCTTTGCAACATCCATTATTGGAGTAGGAGAGTAAACACCTATAAATTATCTGTACTGAAGGTAAAAACAATAGCCAAACTAGTTACCCTGTATCTTGGCCCAAGCTTGCCCAGAGCTTTCCCAGGCACCCTAACTCACCAGTAACAATGCTGAGCTTTGCCAGTTGTTTCCTCCTTTGAGTTACAGGGTCAACACCAGCTGCGTCTGGGAATAGGGCTGACCTATAACAGAGAGAGAAGTTCATTAGGGATGCTGCCCAGCACAGGCAGGAGGCATTCAAAGTTCCTGCTCTCACACATTTGGCATCCTAGCAAAGACAGGTCAATTATTTACACTATGTAATTTCAAGTAGTGCTAAGTGTCATAAAGAAAAATAAAGCAGGCCGGGTGCAGTGACTTATGCCTGTAATCCCAGCACTTTGGAGGTCGAGGCGGGCAGATCACCTGAGGTCAGGAGTTGAAGACCAGCCTGGCCAATGTGGTGAAATACCATCTCTACTAAAACACACACAAAAAATTAGCTGGGTGTGGTAGCAGGCGCCTGTAATTCCAGCTACTCAGGAGGCTGGGGCAGGAGAATCGCTTGAACCTGGGAGGCAGAGGTTGCAGTGAGCTGAAATGGCGCCACTGCACTCCAGCCTGGGAGATAAGAACACAACTCCATCTCAAAAAAAAAAAAAAAAAAAAGTAAAGAAAAGGAAAATAAAGCAAGGTGAAGTCTGTTTTAGACAAAATTGTCAGGAAGAGGCCTCTCCAAAGGGTGACATCCACAGAGACTTGAACGACATGAGGGGGTAAGACATGAAAAGATCTGAGGGAAGAGTGTTCTAGGGAGACAACAGCAAGTACAAAGGCCCTGTAGTCTTGGTATGTTTAAGGAACAAGAAGGCTAGTAATACAGCTAGAATACAGTCATAAGGAGAATGAGGTACATACTAGAGACACAAAAAAGAATTTGTTCTGTATTTTACATATGAGAAAACTAAGGCTCAGAGACTAGGTTACTTGCCCAAGATCAAAACAAGTCAAATGGTAGAACTGGGAGTGAATCTCAGGTCTTCCAGACAACTCTAAGTCTGTCTCATTTGTGGCCCAGGCTCCTCCAGGTTTAGATAACCTGGATTCTAGCTGATAAAAACTTTCAAGCACTCTGAGATTTATTTCAGGTTTCTGTGCTCAGCTCCCTCCTCTGTTGAGTGAGGATGGTAGAGAAATCCCTATCTATTCATTCCCAGGAATGTGGAACAGAGCAGACTCTGGAATAAAAATAGTAGCATATATCAGCACTGATGTAAACCTTTTATTTGTATTAACGCATTTCATCTTTACAACAATCTTGTAAGGTTGGTGTGTTATTTTACTAATGGGGAAACGGAGGCACAGGGCAATTAAGTAAATTTGTTCATTGCACAGCTAACAGATAATGGAGCTGGGATTTGAACCCGGAAGTCCAACTCCAGGGCTTGCCCTCTTAACCTCACATTACACGTAACAATTTTCAAAAGCAGAAGAAAGCAGGAAACATGTTCTCTTGTTCTAGTTTATATGGCTTAGAGTCCCCCATCCATCCATACCCAAGCCTGACATCCTCTCCATATACTTGCAGTCCAGGCTTTTTACTCAATACAAATTGAGTGACTCCGGAGTCCTTCAACCAGGTGGTTCCAGAGGCTTCTCTAATCTCTACTGTTAGAGATTAGATAACTACTTTTATCTAGATTAGATAACTACTGTTATCAAAGCTCTGATAATAACAATAGCTATTTAATAGGCATTTACTGCACAGTTGGAAACAGACTAGGTACTGGCCTAAACACTATTTTATTTCAGAGGGAGTGAAAGTTGCTCCAAGTCATGAGTGAAGGGATTCTGGGGGGCAGGCTCCAGGCCTGGAACAAAGCAGCAAACACAAGGAACCGAAGGATCTCTGCAGCTCTGGATCAAAGGACAAAAGCAAAGGCACCAGGGAGTCAGGTGGTAAGCGTACTGGACTATCGACACCTCCAATCAACCAGTCAACAAACTCAATTCATCTTCTATTTCCCAGCCTCCATGATTCAGAGAACAGCATAACCATCGTCCCAGGTACTTAGACTCCAAATATTCATGCTCTCAACAACTTTTTCTCTCCTTTCCCCATTCCCACAATTGCCAAATCCTTGTTGGCCGTTTTCTTCCCCCCTCTGAAAGCTCTACATCCAAACCATTCTTTTTTTTTTTTTTTGAGACAGAGTCTTGCTCTGTCGCCCAGGCTGGAGTGCAGTGGCGTGATCTCGGCTCATCACAACCTCTACCCAACCCCAACCCTGGGTTCAAGCAATTTTCCTGCCTCAGCCTCCTGAGTAGCTGGGATTACAGGCACCTGCAACCGCACCCGGCTGATTTTTTGTATTTTTAATGGAAACGGGGTTTCACCATGTTGGCCAGGCTGGTCTCGAACTCCCAACCTCAGGTGATCCACCTACCTCAGCCTCCCAAAGTATTCTTTATTCCTTACTATGTCAACTTCCTCTGGGTGCAAGATCACATTATCTCTTGCTTGCACTACTGGAATATTTCTTAAAATTTATTGACATTACAAGGGCAGACTGTTACAGGAGTCTCTTCCCTGGTCTCTGTTTCACTAATCTCCCCCACCCCTCCTGCTCCAATCCATTAGACCCACACTGCCAGACTAATAGTTCTAATGCCACTTCTCTGCTCAAAAAAAGTGATGGCTCCCAGTCACCTTAGCCTTGCTCTTAGGTATGCTATGATCTGGTCATCATCCACCTTACTTTCCACTGTGGACTTTCCAGCTCCCATATTTTGTCCATACTGGTGTCTCACTGGAGTCACCATTCTTCATTTATATACATTCGAACCCTTCTTAATTTTCAAGGCCTAGTGAATCTATGATGTTATCCTGAACCCTTTTCTCACCACTCTCTCTGCCATGTTCTTGAAACATCTCCAGCTTGTGGCTATATTCATTTCTGACCTCACCATCAGCTAAGGCCTCAGGAATACAGTACCCATTACCCTTCTTCGTAGAAATTCCTACTTTTTCTGAAGAATGGACACCCAGTCAATTATAAGATTTCTTTTTTCTTTTTAAGATACGGTCTCACTCTGTTGCCTAGGCTTGAGTGCAGTGGTACAATCTCAGCTCACAGCAATCTCCATCTCCTGGGTTCAAGCAATTCTCCTGTCTCAGGCTCTCAAAGTAGCTGAGATTATAGGCGCATGCCACCACATCTGGCTAATTTTTGTACTGTTAGTGGAGATGGAATTTTACCATGTTGGCCAGGCTAGTCTCAAACTCCTGACCTCAGTCTCCCAAAGTGCTGGGATTACAGGCATGAGCCACCACACCTGGCCAATTATAAGATTTCTGTTTCCATTCCCCTACTGAGTCTGGATCTATCTCCCAACAAGAGACCTGAGTTCTAATCTGCATCTCAGATTCCTCATCTGCAAAAAGGGAATTCCTATACTGCCAACAAAGAGATTTGATGATCACATGTTTTTATCAATGTGATAACAGGTAAGGAAAAGGGCAGAGTTAGAAGAGTTCCAGCCAGGTCTTTTATAGTTCTTCTTGCAAGCTGAAAAACAGAGCATGAATCTTCTATCCAATTAGTCAAAAAATATTTCCTGATATTAGCTGTACTGGTTGGCTTTGCTGTGTACATAGCTCTGAGTGAGAGGTTATGGAGGATGCACAGATGATTGAGAACACTCCTTATCCCTAGGCACATAGCATTCAGGGTAGAACTATGGTGTCCCACAAAAAATTACTAAGACTATTAGGGAGGATCCAACAGTTCAAAGAATGTTATGTATTGTCAAAGTGGATAAACAAATCAGTCTGACCTAGGGTTATCTCAGAAGCTTCACAGAAGCAGCAAAGATTTAAGCCAGGCCTTGATGCAGGGTGACAGAAAGACATGGGCTGCTACTACTGTGCCTCAGGCATGAGGCTGGGTGTTAAAACTATTAATCCTTATGATACATTGTGAAGTAGGTGATAACGGCCCATTTTACAACCAAGGTAACTAAAGACAGTTGAGGCTAAGTGTGCCATTCAAGGTCAAACAGCTAGTAAGCAACAGAGCTAGAATCTGAATGCAGGTCTGCTTTACTTCCAGAGCCTATACACTCTCATGATCTGCCTTACTTTATTACATAGCAACATGAAAGAAGACCAGATAAACTAATGTTCTTTCCATCCTCAAAATTCAATGATTTGAATGGGGGTTATGGGAGGAGTAGGGGTTGTGTGCTCACTGCTGCTATGTCTTCTCCATAAGATTGTGAGCTTATGACAGGATTAGCGTCTTATGGGCCATCATATGGGTCTTGGGTTATGTAGGATTAGGGTCTTATGAACTATCTGCCAGGATCTCCATCAGCCTAATTATCTGACATGTGAGTAACTAAAGGAATAAACAAAACTTGCCCAGCAACTCTTATTCTGAGGACTAGAAGTCAAGTCCAAAATCTCAAGCTCCTTATTCAGTCTCGGCCCCAGTATCTATACCAAACAACTAACTAATGTGTTGGCTTCAGATGTCCTTTTCCCATTCTTGTTTTCACAAGTTATGGGAGAATTGAGCAGAGAAAAGGCAGGGAGCAGAGAAAAGAGAATAGGAAAGGGGTGAAGGGAGAACTGGTAAGAAAAGAGACACCTGAGCAAGTTTAAAATGGCCTAGGCTTTGGAAAAGATCTTTTTCCTTCTGGTACCAGAACAAAGAACTTTTATTTAAAAGAGAAGCAGCAGGAATTCCTCTTTATAAATGTTAAATGAAGGGAGTTTGCCTATCCAAACTCCAAACTAAATCTGCCAACAGGAGGTAATGTGAAGTACTTATCGACAAGCTCCTCAGGGCTCCCACCCTCAGTCCTCACTATTGCCCTGCCTCAGCCCAAACTCTGCCTGGTTTAGGCTGAAGCCTGCTGAGGTCAGAAGACAAGGAGGTTCTTCCCCTTGTCACTGCTTCCTCCTCTACCAGAATTACTCCAGGCTAACAAGCCCTGGGAGCATATCCTTTCCCCAACAGCTCCCCGTCATGAAAGCTTTGTTGAAAAACTTTCCTTATGCCCCCGCCCCACCCCCACCAAAAAAAAAAAAAAAAAAAAAAACAGAAATCTACTGCTGGAGGCTGGGGAAGAGAGCCAGGAAGTGAATGAAGAGTGAAAATTATGAGAAGCCTGGGTCTGGACATCAAAGGGTGGGGAA